ACACACATCTACCTGAACTTTCACTCGAAATTACAAATATTAAATAAAAGTATAACGGGATGCTGGTAATTCATAAGGCTTGCGAAATTCGACGACAAAAAAAAAACTTCAGCTCGCAATAGGTTAAAGTAAAGTGGGTAATGGCACCGCATATAAGAAAAATCAAGCCAATAACGCTAGACATAAAGCGAATTGAAGGACAAAAGGACTCTCGAGTTCATATGAAAAGTGCAAAGCTGCGGCGAAAAGTGTAAATTGGTTTAATTAGGTCTTATACAGATTTAAAAAGTCGAAAAAGTCGCCCTACGTATCCGATTGCTTATTTGATACTGAAGACGGGGGCACATAAGTAGTCCAGGTGGTAAAGCACTGCTAACAGATCCATACGATGATAAAGTTGTTGGTGGTGGTTCCTTCTTTCGAAAACTACTCGAGGACAGACTGATGGCGTGCATCAGTACTGCCATCGAAACTAAAGAGCGAATCTTAAAAGGATGGGTTTATTTACAGCCGAAGGGGAATTGTCATCCCTCACCCTTGAAGCAAATCCCGCTACTACAACGATTATGCGTGCACGCAATGCGATTATTGTTGAAAAAAAAAACCATAAAACTTTCTGAAGCAGCAAAGAAACCACTAGTTTTAAGAAATCTATAGATGCAACCTTTTCGAATTCGGTTTTCTCGTCTTCTTCGTCTCCTTTCTTCTGTCCTTGCTTCTTCAGACGCTTCTTGCGAAGTTCGCGCCATTTGCTCGGCTTTAACGCCGTCACTGTGGTTGTGACCACGGCCGCAGCATCGGTCACCAAAGTGGTCAACGCTTCCGTTGGCAGTTGATGTTGTTGCGCTTGCGCCTGTTGCTGACTCGGTGACGATTGCTGAGACTGTGTATGCTGGGATTCTGGTGGCGATTCTTCGACAAGCACCTTCTTGATGAAGTTCTTGGCCCGGCTCACTGCGAACAGTGAGACTGTTACTGATGCCATCAGCATAAGGCTTTCGAGCAACCAGTCACGTTCCATACTTATCACTCACTGAACCAATTCGACCAGTTTCATTTATTTATAGAATCAAGTTCCCTTGAATATTCAGTTTCTAAAGATGAATTTGGCTTGCACAATAAACGTAGGCTGGAACGCACCGGCGAGCCGGAGCGATCATGCGTTTTTGCACAAAACTTGAATTAGGTTAATTGCATGAACGGTTGT